TTTATGCATCGGTTAATATCTATTGCAAACAATTGCAGGAATTACGCTCACTGTAATTCGGAGCACAGATGACGTGTTTGCTAGTTCAAAAGAAACCACAGAGCAAGTGTTGTTGTAAGGAATTGGCCTTAGATTGACTGAGGTGTTGCTTAACTAACAAGTAGGGTGCCTCGTCTTACACTTTGGTCTAAATGCAGGTTATTTGGTTATTTTAAGTATTGAGCGTTGTGCTAAGTACATTTTGTGTTTATGAATATTTCAAACAAGAGTTTCTCATCTTCATTTCAGGATATCAGCTGTGTGACAACAGCGTTGGCGTTCTGTTTAACGACTACACCCGTCTGATCATGTACGCTGACGGAGACAGCCTGCAGTACATCGACAAGACTGCAACTGAATCCTACATGAGCGTGCGCTCTTTCCCTTCCACTCTCAACAAGAAGGTAAGAAGTTAGACCTTTTGTTTTGTGTATGAGACGAGGTTTTAAATGGTCTCCGCCCTCGTTTTCATACTCAACTCAGTGTTTCTCTCTTCTTTGTAGATAACATTGCTGAAATACTTCCGCAATTACATGAGCGAGCACCTGCTGAAGGCTGGCGCAAACATAGCACGTCGGGAAGGAGATGAGCTGGCACGACTGCCGTACCTTTCCCTCTGGTTCAGAACCAAAAGCGCCATTGTGCTGCACCTCACTAACGGCACGGTTCAGATCAATTTCTTCCAGGTAGGACGCCACACCACCTTCCTACGGTCCTTAACTGGTTTACCTGTCTTGTGATGGCATATACAGATCCTTTATTCATGCTTTACTTTGTCTCTGGCAGGACCACACCAAGCTGATCCTGTGTCCGCTGATGGCTGCAGTGACCTACATAGATGAGAAACGAGACTTCCGCACCTACAAGCTGTCTCTTCTGGAGGAGTTCGGTTGCAGTAAGGAGCTGGCGAGCCGCATTCGTTACGCCAAGCTCATGGTGGAGAAACTGTTGGACAGCAAGCCAACTCCCGCCGCACATTAGTCCCCAAGTGTCTTTAATCACCGGCTGCTTCTCCGTGAGTTCAGGACGGGCTCGAACTTTCAGTCTTCATCTGTTTTATGGGTCATGTTGTAATCCTTTTTTATTGCCAACACTTTCACACCTACTGTGACAATTCATCTTATATATGTTGTACATGGAAAATTCCCATCTTTCAGCCGCTGTTTTCTCTTTTAAAAAATTGTCTTCCTGTTTATAGAAACTCTCTTGTTCTTGTAACTTTCTCGATGAAGCTTGCGTTCCCGCTGACAGCACAGACTGTGTGTGTGTTCAGATGAGTCTAGACGGGAAAACGTGAATGTTCCCTTGGTTTACATTGAACTTAAAGTTGGAACGGTCCTCCGAGGTTTCCTCTGCATCTTTTGTTTGTACATAAAGTCCTGCTTTTCAAACTCGATGCTGAGTGGACAGACTGTGAGGTGGGAGGTTGAGACTCGGGCCAGCTGTGTGGGTGGACGAAAGCTTCTCTGGTCTGCTTCTCTAGTTTGTTTTTTCTGTGTCGTGTGTAGAGAAATGGACCATGTTAATACGTCTGCATCATGTACATTCTTTCTCTGTTAGTTTTACTTTTTATAATTCTATTTTTAGATGGCATTTTCAACAAGTTGTACAAACATGTACATACTGATGAATATGAAGACATGTTGTAAAGATGGATTAATTTTACCTGTGTTTAAATAAAGATTCTCTTGTACAAGGCACTTCATGTCTTCAGGGGGGGTAGTGTACAATCTGGATATTTGTCAGCAACAAAGATTAGTATTACAAGTCAGGGTGGTTAACTGGGGGAAAAACAAATAAATACCACACCAGCTGAGAACTGGCTGAACTTCTACTCATGGTATGACTGAAATCGTGGACGGATATCCTGTTTTCATGCACCCAGCACAGGATTCACCCCTTCTCAGGTCACATGTTGAGGTAAGCTACTTTCTCTTTTTCCCCCTTTAATATAAATGCAGGTGTCCTCTGATATTATACACTTAAACACTCTTGAATTTCATTTTCTGACTTGGTGAGATGCTTTAAATCATTGATGTAGAACCCATTTTGATCTCATCTGCATCAGACCAGTGAAACTGTCCTTTCTGTCAATGTACTGAACTTTAACTACACATTAATCCTAGAGATGCCTTAATGCTGAAGTATTATTTTAACAGATTGTCTTTTTCTACATTATAATGAAGTGCTGCTGCAGTATTTGAAATAAATCTGTCAGGATGAGACTTAAACTGAAGTAAATGTGTAAAATTACAGAAATCTGGAACTTAATTACTGTGGTTTGGTATGAATGGCTATGGGGTAAATCTTGATCAGTAGAAAAAGCTAAAAAAAAATCTATGGAAGTGCAATTAAAAGTCCAAAATTTCTGTTGCCCTTCACATTGTCCAAAGCCATCCAGTGAATTGGAGTCTGTACTGGGCCCATTCTGGCCCCTGTTTGAGACCCCTGGTTTGAACCATAAAAAGGATCATGTGATCATCCACTTCACTTGTCTCTTTCAGGCCTTTGGTGTTGCTTAGCTGGCCAGTGCATCCTACCCCATGTGACTTCGATATCGCTTATTATTTAATTGTGCAATTATTACTGTCTGTGGAAATGGAGCATCTGAAAATATTGTCAGTAATTCCTAAACCTCAGTAACTTCAGTCACATCTTGATTGCTTCAACATACCGTGGTGGTGTATGGAACAAAAGTACTGTATTAAATATAAATATAAATATATATTATTCTCTTCTGCTTATCAGGGTCACAGGGCTACACATAGAGACAAACAACCATTCACACTCAGATTCACACCTATGGGCAATTTATGAGCAATTAATGGCCACGTGGTAGGGTCGAACTCATTAATAACTGAACCCCACTGTTGCCTGCTGGTCACCAACGACCTGACTGGGAACTCACCCATCTTTATGACAGTGGCTCGTAAAGATTTGCTTAAAGAAAAAAATGTGACCATGGTCCAGTAAACTATTAATGATGAAATGGAAAACAATCTACAGGGGAAATGAAAAACTGAATATTTCATTAGGGGAGAACTATTGAATAGTAACTACAGAGACAGTTAAATAATATTTATAAGGAGAAACATTGTGGTGGCATTATTACATAAAGGGAAATAAACAATCACCTCCCCCTTTGTTAGGTACATCTGTTTTACTTCTTGGTAATGCAAACATCTATTCAGCCAATCACCAGCAGCAAACCTCTTCATTTAGGCATAAACCTGAGCATCAGCATAGCGAAGAAAGGTAATTTAAGTGACTTTGAATGTTCCATGGTTGTTGGTGACAGACAGACGGCTCGGGGTATTTCAGAAACTGCTGATCTGCTGGGATTTTCCCACACAGTCATCGCTAAGGTGTTACAAACAAAAATATGCAGAAGAGCATCTCTGAAAGCACAACACATTGAATCTTGGACTGCAGCAGCAGAAGACTACACCACATGTGCCACTCCTGTCAGCTAAGAACCAATACATTTGGACAACAGATGGGAAAAATGTTTCATGGCTGATGAGTCTCGATTTCTGCTGCAACATTTAGAAGGCAAATTGTTGCTGTGCACGTTCATCCATCATGAGTACAGTGTACCCATCTTCTGATGGCTGCTTCCAGTGGGATAATGCACCATGTCACAAAGTTCAAATCTTCTCTGGCTGCTTTTTTGAAGATGACAATGAGTTTACTGCACTCATTTCCACAGTCACCAGATCTATAAATAGAGCACTTTTGGGATGTGGTGAAATTCACATCATGGACAAATCTACACTATCTGTGTGATGCTATCATGGCAACATGGGCCACGATTTCCAAGGAATGTTTCCTGCACCTTTTGTAATCTTTGCTACGATTAATTAAAGCAGCCCTGAAGGTGAAGGGGGAGGGGCTAAAGTGTCCGGAAAGTGTATATTTTGGGGTAAGAATTTGAAACAACCCCCCCCCAAACCGGATGTATTGCATTATTTTTTAACTGTCCTGTAGCTGGTAAATAATATAATATGAAATTTGAATTATATAGCTTTTATACCTGGTAAGCTCACGGTTATTCTGGGCTTTTAATGATTTCTCTAACTTTCATTTCATAACATACATCTGTTATGACTTTTTAAAAAGTAAGAGTGCACAAGCTTGAGTTTATTTTGGATTTTTTCAAAATAAAGTCCAAAGAACTCACGGACAGCCCACGTGTTTTATGGTCAGACAAGATAAAGCTTGAACTATTTGGTCACAGTGACAAGAGTAGGAGTTTGGGGGAGTAAAACTACAGAACACTGTAGTCAGCTGTACCAACTGACAGGCACAGTGGGGGTAGCATCATGCTCTGGGACTATTTTGCTGCCGGTGCTACTGGTGCATTGAAGAAAGTGGATGAAATTATGAGGATGGAAAAATGCCTTAAAATTCTTAAGTTTCACCTCAAACTCAAAAATATTCACTGTTTTAATAATTATTTAAAAGGACACATCAAAACTGGTTTTGGATTGGATAAAGCAGGCTAACACCAAACCTCTAAAATCTTGTTCCCAAACCCCCTTTTAAATATTTTTCGACAAACATTTAAAGCCGGGTTCATGCCCGATCAACTTGTTTAAATTCACCACCAATTCTGACAAGAATTACGATTAAATATCAGGACAGAATTATGACAAAAGCTTGCTGATGATTATCAAAAAGGATCTGGTCATCTTTCTAGGGGACGTTTAACACGGACAGCCGACGTTCACGTCCATGATGAGTGTAAGTAAACTTCTGGCCTTTAGTAATTTTATTACTACAGGATCCATTTCAGTAATATACTCGAGTAATCGTATTTCCAACGCTGCATACTTTTTAAAAACATGGTCTGTTGTTTTGAGCCACAGTTGTGGCTTAAAGTAGATAAAATGTACAGAAAATAAAGAATTCACAAATGTTTAATGTAAATCTTAAAACCAACTTTAGTAAGATTTCTTTTCTATATAACAAATACAACATACACATACATAAACAAGTCAAAAACAGCTGCAGTAATAAAACACACATTTCCAGTCTGACGTTACAGTGACCTAAAAGGAGCTCTAGGGTGTGACGTGTTAGAAAGCTTGTACAGCAGCGACTGGTTTATGGTACATGCTCAGTTTACAGTACATGAAAGCTCATGTTTTTGGATTTTTATGTTAAATTTACTCAAGCTGAAGGTAAATTCCTGAAATGCAATACAGTTTACAGCAGTAACCAAATCAAATGAAGGGAACGTGTCCGTGCCCCACCATGACGCTGAAACCCCCCAATGTCTTTATGTCAACGCAGACTGAAACAAAGATGTTTATATTTGATTAAAAAGTCGTCTAAAAGTCCGTTTTTAGCAGCAGCGCGAGTTCTGACTGTAGCAGTATAAAGTCACGTCTCCGTTGTGATGTCCAGTCACCAGCGTGTTTAATCCCCCCCATCGAGCCAGCTGCCAGCCTTCACTCTCTGGAGCCCACACCATCCTCGAAGCCCCCGGGTGCCCGAGGTCCCACACACAGGCGCAGCCGTTCTGACTCAGGCCCACCACGCCGGAGCCACTGACGTCGGCTTCACACAGCCTGTAGAGCAAAGTGACAGATGTAAATATGCCAGTGTGTTTGAAAAGTGACGCAGAAACACAAACCTCGTCTTCCATTCCTCATCTCACCTGCCAGCCCAGGTTTCCGGTGGGTACAGCTGAGTAGCGGGGATGGATTTTCCACTTAGAGGGTTAATGGCGACCAAGGAGAAAAATGCAGTCTTAGGATCTTTTATTTTTCCTTCTTTTTCTTCGTCTTCTAAAGAGCTTAGAAACTGATGCTGCAGCAGGACAAACAACACTCCCTGTGCACAAACACGCAAAGGACTTATATCATGTAAAGAATGACAGCGTTACAGGGGCATGGTTTTTTTGTTTTTACTGCTTTTACTTACACAGGAGGAATATCCTCTGAGGCAGGCTGTGTGAGAAAAACCCTCTCCAAAGAGGACTCTGCACAGCAGCTGTCCAGTCTTTAGATTCCTACAACAAACAGAAACAATTTAACTGTAAGCGGGAGCAGCTTCGAGGTAAAGATGAAGCTGCTGCTGAAATCACATTTCTTTCTATCAAAAACAAAACGACAGGAGGATTATGTTTTGTTTTGTGTTATTTAAGCTGTTTTTTCTGTCTGTAGGGGGCAGCAGAAACAAACAGATGAGTCTTTAAACTTCCTCTTGTCCCATCTGTTGTCAGTTGACACACTGACTGGTCAGGTGGTCCCGATGGAGCACAAGCCTACTGATGTCATTAGCTCTGTTTGAATAACTGATTCTAACAACATCAGAAACGAATGAAGAGCCAAAGAGAAACCCGAAACAGAATTCAGCAGTCTTGATCTTTAAATTAGACTTTTTATCATCACATTTATGTTTACCAGACAAAAAGGTGTCCGCCCTCATCTGTACCAATGAGAGCATCAGGAAGTCCGTCAACTGGTGCAAGCGCTCCCACGCAAACACCTGGAGATACCAGAGTCTGAGAGCTTGGTGAGCTGAGAGAAAAAGAAAAAGAAAAAAAGAGAAGTGAGACACGAATCGTGACAACTCTATGTAAGCTTCGGACCCCAAATGCAGATGTAGTCTGTGACATCGACACAATGAAAGGCGACAGCGGAGAGGAAAACTGTGATGTGTTACCTGTAGTCTGACAGCGTAAACACCTGCAGAGTGGAACCTGTGGCTGAGTGGGAGGTGGTCACCACTCTGGACCGGGACACACCAATCACTGCCTGAAGAATCCCCTCACAGAGCAATATTTGCATGAGGCTGGAGCATGACAGCACTCTGTGCACACAGACAACATACAAATATTTTACAAACTATACTGAACTTAATGAAAACTGCTCATTTGCACAGGCGAAGCAAAAACACACCCCGTGATTCAGCAGCTTGTAGAACCGCCTTTAGCAGGAATAACTTGAAATAATGGTTTCCTGTATGATTTTGTCAGTCTCTCACATCGTTGTGGAGGGATTTTGGTCCACTCTTTTTTACAGTGTTGCTTCAGTTCATTTAGGTCTGCAAGCACAGCTCTCTTAAGGTCCTGCCCCAGCATTTGGTTGAAGCTGAGGTCTGGACTTTGACGGCATCGTTGCACCTGAATCCTTTTCTTTTTCAGATATTGTGTTATAGATTTGCTGCTAGACTTGGAATCATTGTCCTGCTGTTAAAACCAATTTGGGACACGCTTTAGGTGTCAGACAGATTCCCTCACATTTGATTCTTAAATACTTTAATCAACTCAACGACTGCAAGGTACACTGGTCCTGTGACTGCAAAGCAAATCAGAATCATCACCCGTGCTTTACAGCTGGTATGAGCTGTTTGTGCTGATGTGCTGTGTTTAATACCTATGGAAGCAGGAGGGGTGTACTTAGTTTTTACATGACAGTACATGGTAGAGATAATCATTTACGGTTTAGTATTCACCTCACTTCTCTGATTTCCAGCTGACCCAGAGTCACACAGATCAGCCCAGCAGCATCCGGGACATGAAACACACTGATCACTGGCTGCAAATAAACACCAATTACTGCCATGTGATTTTATGCATCTCCCAAACATTCAAACTGCAGTTTACTAATCACATTTATGTATAATTTATATTGTTTGTGCAATAACACTGAGCTACAACAAAGATGAAACTTATTCTAATACGTGGATTCTTTACGCTCATCTTTAACTATGTATTTATATTGTATAGCTAGGGCTCCTGGCAGATTACTGAAACCAGGTGTTAATCAGTGGAACAGTAAAAAAGAAAAAGTAGTTCTAGCTAATGTTCAAACCTCCACAGAGTCATTCTGATATGCAGGCCCATAAGAAACTCACCTCACTAAAGGTCCAGGTGTGTATTAATTTCCATTCAGATGCTGAAGCTTGACTCCAAAGGCACACTGCCCACTTTCCTGCTGCTGCTACACACAAAGTGTCTGAGGATCCAGGAAAACAGCAAGCATCTACCAGAATGCCTCCTGCTGCAGCCTGAACACACACAAAAAACTGTAACTCACTCAAGAACAATGTCACGGATGCTTTAGATGCACACACCCTTAAATTATATTTAAGCTAAATAATAATCTTTAACTATACAGCAACAGATAAAACAGTTTTTTTACCCTCAATGTGTGCATGTGTCTAATTACAAGTTCTTCTTTCGTTTCCTCTGTTCTCAGGTCCAACTGCCCAGCTGAGTCCTCCAGCTGATGGCCGGAGGGACTCGGGGGAGAAGTGAGTTCAACTGTGTGATGCTGATTGGCCCTAACTGGTGGCTTAGATAAATGGTGGATCTCTCCAGATGGAGAGAGAGCAGAGGGGCTAGGAGGGAGGTAAGTGATGGAGGGACAGGGAGACAGGGGTGGAGGAGAGAGAACCTGTCTGGAAGGGCTGTATGGTGGAGGCAGGTTGAGACAAGGGGCAGAGGGGGAGGAGGTCAGAGGGAGGCTGCAGGTGATAGGGTGGGGGGTGAGACCTAGGGAGGGTAGTTTTGGGCTGGTACTTAGGGTGGATGAAGGCAGGTGTGGGGTTATAAAGAGGGAGGGTGCTGAAGCCAGAGGGGAACTCAACATGAGCTGAGAGATGACACCGTGTGAAGATTTGGTCTGATTTTCAGGAAGTCTGTTTGGAGTCTTCAGAGGTTCTCCTGGAGGGTTTGTTTCATTACATGCTTGTTTATCAGCGCAGCTGCTGGAGGAGAGTTCCTCTACAGGTGACTCAAAGGAAACCAGCTCAGTGGTAACTTTATCTTCTTCACTGTGATTTATACACCTCAGATCCTCTGAAGCATGGACCACACCACAATATGTGTGTTTTTCAGGTAATTTAAGTTTTTCTGGGTGATTGATGACATCATCATTCTCTGTGCAGACTGGTCTGTCTGCAGAGTTCATGAGAGTCTGAAGTTCAATATGAGAGTTCACAATCACAGTTTCCTTACAGACATTAGCACACTTTTGCCCCACTGGCTCTGTTGGGCTAGAGTGAGTCTCTGCCAAGCTCTGCTGCTCTTCAGTGAAGGAGTGCTTCATCACTTTATCTGTAAGCCTGTGTTCTTCTGATACACTCTGGATGTGTATGGACTGGGTAGCAGCCAGCTGTTCTGCATTATGACCTGGTGAACTTGCAATTGTGGGTGTGAGGCTTAGCGGGAGAGGAAGAGGCGTCGCTGCATCAGCGCCGGTGCATCGAAAGTCAAAGCGGCGCCAGCTGCTGCGTGTGTTGTAAGATGGGGATGAGAAAGGTTCAACTGCAGATTCTCCAGTGACTTGGCGAAGCTTGAGGAGCTTCAGGGAGGCAAACTGGTCATCTGGGAGATGAAAATCTTGGTGGGTGTCCAAGTTCATCAGCGGGCCAGACAACAGAGAGGGAAGACGAAGCAGAGACGTTTGAGCCGGTGACAAGGAGGGCAAGAGGAGAGATCGCCAGCTCGATGTACCTGAAGAACACAAAGTGGAAAATAAAAGCTTCAGTCAAAAACATGCTCGTCACTGTATATAGAACTTGTTATGTATATACTGGGTGATGACCTGACTGAAGGAACAACCTGTCAGTCATCATGTCAGTAGGTCTGTTCAGGGAACTTTAAAACAGTTAAACTGACACCAGACACCAAGCCAGACTTTCAGTGCACATCTACATTCATCTCCTCACAAAATAGCCTCTGTGTCATCTTAGATGCACTTCTTGTATCAAAAGAAGAAGTGCAGTTCTCTGCATTGGCTGTGGTTTCCTTCACACAACAAAAGTTTCCAGTTTCCATTCTTATAATTAACCTAATGCCGTCATTTCTCCGCATTTCTACCCCTTTAATCACCACCATATGGCAACTGTGCACTGAGGGTTAGGATTCACGCTGAAGACAGAAGGTTCTTTTTGAAGGGTTATTATGGAAAAAATTAAAAGAGTGCATGCAAAGTGTGACACACTGAATTAAAAATTGCAGCTGTATATTGCAGCAAACTGTGCATTCAAGTGGGTCTCAGCAACATGTTTGGGAATTTCTGCTGATCTCTTATTTCCCAAGGGACTGCACAGCAGATGGATGCACGCTTGATTTGGCCCAGATTTTAAACCATCTCCTCCCAGTCTTAAACCAAGAATGTTTTGCATGTAAGGCAAATGTGTTAACCACTACACTGCAGAGGCACTCATTGCTTTATACCACTACATAACTGCATCGAAACATTGTGCTGCATCAAAATGTGCAACGCAAATAATGTTTTTAACGCTGTCTCTTTGGCCACAACAGTCAAATGAATCCAAAAGTCTTTGAGATGAGTCTCTCCAATTTCTGTGATGTTTTTATAATCTGAACGCGTGGAATATGTGTCAGATAAAGCACATAGACATGAACATAACCTTAAGGAGGAAGGTTGTTTTAGAAATGGGTGTAAATAGATCTTGCGCTCACCCTTTCGTCACAATTCACTTTATAGAGTGAACATAGGTCTCAGGGTATTTTTATAATGATGCACAGACACATAGACAAAGACTGATACCAGAGCCCAACAAATATATGACCAATAATGATAGACAATTGTCATTTAAACATGCAATATATGAGCCAATATTTCTTTCTTTCAGACACATGAAAAACAGATTATTCTAACGTTTGTTGTATGTGGTTATTTACGAGTCCTTACTGAGGTAATGTAATAATGCTGTTAAAAAGTTCACTTGTTTCACTGGGACAACAAATCAGAGATTATTCATTTACTGCCGACTCTGCTCAGATTAGCTGGTTGTTGGGACCTTGGAGAGTGCCCTCCTAACAAGTTATTTCATGTCTTTCTTAAAATTTGAATTTATCAGCCATTATAAATGCAGATACAGATCTATCAGCAAATATCTGATATTACCCGAAATATACGCTGGGCTCTATTTGATTCATACTCATACAAGTCTTACTTTGGTTCATGTGTGGGGATCTGTAAGCCTTGTTGTTCCTCTTCATAAAGATTTCATAGACCTCCTCTGGATGTCCAGAGGCAGAGCTGGAAGAAGCTCTATTATCTCCAGAAGTAAGCGGAGGATCAGTGATGTGTGTGGGCACGTGCTGTGGTTCATTTGTTGCTAGGTCGGTTTCTCCTGGGATTGGGCATGGCTCTGGTCCATCAGCTTCTTGGAGAGACTGACAGGAAGAGACTGGAATGTCTGTAGGTTGGGGATCATCTGAGGTTTGCTCACCTGGTGACTGATGTGTGTTCAAACTAGAGGCTCGTCCGGTCTGAGATCTCCCTCTCCCCGTGCCTCTCTTCCTCTTCCGGCCTCGTGCTGGACGAGCAGACGTGGGAGAAAAACTAGAGTCCATCTGACAAGCTGAAATCTTACCAGAGTTCTGGCTGTGTTCAGCAGATGCACACACAGATGCAACAGCCTGTGATGGTTTGTTAGGGTCCCCAGATGCAGTTGTTAGAGAGAAGAAATCTGTCTGAGTGTGCGGCTGTGAAAGGTCGCTGCTCTGTGTGCTCCTGTTCTGTCCTTTGGCACGACCTCGGCTCCTGCGATGTCGTCCCCTGCTCAGCTGGGACTCTATTACAGCCTGCATGTCAGGCTGGCTCTGTGAAAATGTCATCCGTCTTGTGGTTCGAACGTAGTATTCCACTGGGAAAAGTAGTCCCTCCACTAATGTACAGGAGTCCATAAGGCTCCCACTTTTTCCACCTCCAGTCAACTCATTCTTTTCCTCTTTTACTTCCACACTATAATCATGCCTTTTTTTACTTTCTGTTTTGTCCCCTACATTTTGTTCAGTGTCTTTACTAATGTTCTCTTCATTCCGTCCTCTACTATTTCCACCATCCTCTCCTCTCGCCCCTTCTTTTCTCGGTTTGTTTTGTGTGTCATCCTGCCCCCTGTTTTCAGTTTGTGTTGTGAGCAACAATGACTCAGGTTCATTCTCCCCTTCACCTTTTTCCTCAGCATCTTTTTCCTTTTGTTCTTGGGATCTAGGGATGTCTTTTCCCTGAATATCCCCTGGTTCAGTATATCCATGTGTGCTCCAGTGTGTAAGCAGCAGAGAGGGAGACTCAGAATCTGTACCAGAAAAAAGCTCTTCACTTTCATTTATAGCATCTGCTTCATCTGATGTGAGTTTCTCCTCCTCTCCTGCTCTTTTGGCACTTTCCATCCCCTCACCCTGCTCCTGTCCCTTTTCATTGTTCTCTGTGCTCCTACTTTCCCAGCGTAGGCGGCTGCGTCGTGACCTGAGGCGCAGGGAAGAACCTGTTCTATAACCTGTAGGTTCAGCATGGCTGAGATCTGGCGTTTGCGGGCAAGCATCAGATGGAAGTGAGAACTTGATCACCTGGTTTCTCCTTGAGTTGTCAGATTCAGCTGGACCTGGCAAAAAATCAGATGATTTGTGAATTTCACTTTCTGCTTTTATTACAGGCCAAACACGCTGTGCCTCTGACAGTAATAACAGTGTAGTCTCATCCATATGACAAAGCAAACGTCCCATGATCAAGTGTTACCTTCAGTGTGTCTCTGGCTCTGAGTTAAGCCCTGAGCTGTGTCACCGCTGCTGTTCAGTATCAATGAAGAAGGACTGAGACGGAGATTTGATGCAGCCTCCGTGTCTCTTTGCTCCAGGTGGTTTTGTTCAGCGATCCTGCTCCTCACATGTTTCTGTACTGCCTCCAAGCGCTCGGCACGCTGTTTGCAGATGTATGCATATATATATATATGAGACAAAAAAGGCTCTTTACATTTTTCTTTTTATAGCACAATGAAAGACACTCACCTGCAGTCTCTGGGCTGTCCTGAGATATTCCCTTTGTAATTCAGCCAACTTCCTACGAAGCTGAGAAAAACAACATTAATCTCAGAGGTCATGGCAGCATTTTATGTGGCTCAGGTGTGAGGACAAATGCAGGTTACCTTCTCCTTATCATCAGAATGCAGCGTAGATCTCAGCTGCTCCTCACAGTGCAGAATATCTCCCACAGTGGTCTCCATGCTGCTCTCTGGTCACAGCAACACACGACTAAGACTTAAATGTAGCCATGACACGGCTTCTATGGCGCTAGCACAGCTGGCAGACGTAACCTTTGCCATATAGATTTCCCTAAAACTTTAGCTCACTTGACAATAACGTGATTTTTCTTTAACTGAAAAACCCACACGAAACATAAACGTTAGCAGCCAACAGCCGAAGCTTACACCGCTATTGATAAACACCGATACTTTATTAAATGTGCAACTTGCCTTTTACTGTAGTTCATGCTATTTCATAAGGTGAGCTCTTCAGTGACTACACCGGGCTACAAGTTTGTTTTGACGGTCGATTTGGCAGCTATCGATTTAGTTCTAATTTCCCGCGACTCACATCGCCAGGCACGAGCAGTCGAGCGCCGATGAGTCGATCAGCGGTAGGTAAATGAACCCAAGCGTTGCTGCCGCCCCCTCGTGTCTGGCTGCAGTGTAGGTCATAAACTAAGGAGCTTGGAAAGAAAAGCGGCTGGACTTCTTTACGTTTCTTGAAGACGTTTCACCTCCAGGAGCTTCTTCAATTCTAACACCCGATGGTGGAGAGTCCCAGGTCATAAACCCCGCCGCCTGTTATCCCCAAAGATTCCTTTTAAAATTATTATTAGTCCTCATCACGCTGATTTGTCTTTAAGGGATAATCATTCTCATAAGTTTTATTTTTACTATTAAAATTGGGGTGCAGCATTTTGATGACAGCTTTGATTGTCAGCTGCAGAAATAAAGTTCTTTGACGGCATTAAATAAAACCTGGCGTAAAGTCAAAGTTCTGTATTTAAATGCTGATCTGAAAACTTTAATCAGGAATTCTTTTACAGTGCATTTTGCCATACAGAATAATATTTTAAAGATATCATTTCTACAGGACTGAATAGTCCTGTACATACATCCTGTACATACCATCAGTATGTAAAAGTCCAGAGTCTCTGTGCATTATCTGAGGATCATGTGAAATAGGGGAGAGCGGGGTAAGTTGTCACACTCTTCACACTGACTAACTTTTACTGAGCACCATACATCACAACGTAATAAATGTTTCACCAAATGAAAGACGGAAGTCTCGGGCACATATGATGTATTGATTACATTTTCATATCTTATCTCATTACGGAGTTGTAGACTGTTGAAAGGAGAATGTGCACTTGTGACAATTTGCCCCATCGGCAGGTAAGTTGTCACACTAGATTATCTTAAAATATGAACACAAATACTTAATTATGATTATGGATTTTAATTGTTAAATTCAAACCAAAACTGGAAATTTGAACAATTATGCCAAGAAAAAAACAATTATTTCAATCCAATACACATTTTAATCAAAACATTAAGTAGAAAGAAAACTTTAGTTTGAACTTTAAACTCAAATGTTCTCTGGCTTGCACATAAATCCATCATAACTGAATGGAATGCTGCAAATAACTTGCTTTACTTAACATGTTTATACTCTGAACAAAACAGATGCCTTATTTCTGATTAATCAGACTCAACTTCATAGTCACAATTCTGGCACACATAAATTGCCTGGCCTGAGGTGCAAGCATCATGGGCCCATTTGTTGCATTTTACGCATTTTACCCAGGTCTCTTTTGGACGACTGTTTGAAAATGGCTCCACACAGAGAAGGCAGAAGCACTCTTCATCATCTGATGATGACTCTTGAATTATTTTTCTTCTTTTAGCTGCGTTGTTCTTCATAGGTCCAGATGTTCCCCCCTCGCGTCCCTCTCTTTTGAAACAGCTTTTTGCTAGATTCAGCCTTATTCTTTTCTTTTTCTAGTTGCTGCTTCACTGGCGTGTCGGTTAGAATTGCTGCTTTGCGTCGTTTTCTTCCTTTGCTAGATGGTTTTCGGCGGCCAGCTTTTGGATATGGCTGGATGTCCTCTGGAGTTGGTAGTCCGCTGTCAGTAATTGCAGTGCGGTAATTTATGTCAAAATCCTTTGCTGTACTTGTGATTGATTTGTTCAGCATCTTTACCTGCCTGACTGCCTTTAACATAATGTCAGGTGGTGTTCTGCCACGCTCTGTCTTTCGTTGGTAATTTCGAACCATCTTACTTTCTTCCTTCCTTCCTTAATTCCTGCCTCTCCTTCCTTTCTTCAAAAACCTTATTACAAATAAAAAAGAATTACAATATCACAATTTTTTGGAGCATTTATTTGTACTGGGGCAAGTTGTCACATGTGACGACTTGCCCCAAAGTTAATGAGACAACTTGCCCCAAACTGACATTTATGCTAATTTTGGCTAAATGTCAGGGTTAGCTCAACATAGCACATCAGCTGAAGTATCAAAAGACACGTTAATGTCTCCTCTATTTTGTGTAAAATAATAATCTGTAACATCTATACCTAACAAAGTTGTACTGAAGAAAATTTAAAGTGATTTATTTTTCCTTTTAGGTCAAAAAAATAAAAAAGATGTGCTCACCTCAGATTAGAGCAGTCTTGACCACATGTGAACAGGAGGTTGACTATAGAAGAAGAAGTCACACAAAGTGGCTATTTCATTTTTGAGATAGAGCCTCTAGTGTTGGAGTTATGAACAGTGTGACAACTTACCCGTGTGACAACTTACCCCGCTCTCCCCTACTTGTAACATTACACAAAGCAAAGGTCGCTGTTACAGTGTTCAAAAAGTGCTGTTTTTGTTCAACATCAGTGGGGGATCTATGGTGGACGCCTGAAGACGATTTCCCTCTGAGGAGGCTGCTGGTGAAGATGTTTCTGACATGATTTCTACCTCACTTGGTCAACAGAACATCTGGCACAGGATAGCGGTGAAGAAAGAGAGGGAGAAAGCGGCTCTAAACCTCTGGACCCAGGAATCCAGGCCCAGCTTGGTCCTGATGATCTCCCTCATCCATTACCCCCCTCCAGGGTAATTATAGCTATTGATAACAAAGCAGATTCTGGGTCCTGCTGTAAAATGAAAATAATAAATTATGCTTCTATGAAACCTTTGCTGTTGTGTTTATAAGTCGAACATTTTATTTAAAGTTTTCAGGCTCCAGAGCTCTCAATCTGCAATGGATATAAAACTTTAAATCTTCAGTTTGATATCATTGTCAGTCTTATGCTAAAATCTCAAAAGACAACATTACATTTCCAGATTTAATTTTGATATTATCAGCAACTCTGGGCCTCTGTGGAGACTCAAAAATATTGTCAAACATATTGACAATGAGAGCAACACAAGTGTGTAGCATCACTAACTAGCTCACAACAAGCCTACCACAGCGCCCGTGCTAACTGTTAAGCTTACAAAATCACGCTTAGCTTATATCAGTAAAAATAAAATGCATCAAATTGCTGCCAAACTAATTTTTTTCAGCCTGCTGAAATTCTTTGAACGTCTTAAATTATTAGCAGTAAAAAAATTACCCAACTAGCAAGCTACCTACAAAAAAATCCAAACGAGGCCAAAGTATTTTAACTGGGCTAAAAATGCAAATAATGTAACAAAAACTTTGAATGACTTAAATAACTTAATAAATTAATAATTAATCAATATTTTATTTATTTATTAATTAAAAATCCTTAATGATAATAGGTGACACGAGGTGATTTTATTGCATAATCTTATTAAAATAGATTACTATTACAGTTTTATTAGTGGAAAGATAGACGGGTTTTGTACAGAGCCGTGTTTTCTGAAGACTGCGAGAAGCAGCTAGCACAGTTTTGAAAGACATAATTTGCCATGTTTAATCCCAAAGATGTTTACTTTAATATACTGATGAGAAAAAGAAATCAAACAATGATGCAGTGGCTACAGATCAGGCTACAGACGTGATGGAGTTCTCTCTGAACAAATTAGAGTGTCTTGGACTGATGAGGATAAAACAATGAAGTAAAGCAATGCTATGTTGTCTTGTAAGCGTGAATCCTGCTCGTTTAGCAGTCTGCATAGGATAACATCCTTTAAAATCTGCATCAATTAAACTGAACTGGGCTACAGTTTCTTTATATTCAGAAACATAACATCCTATAAAGGAGAACATAGATACACTATATTGTCAAAAGTATTCACTCAGTGATCCAAATTCTTGAATTACTACATGCACATGCAAACATTTGTGAAAGAATGGCTCGCTCTCAGGAGCTCAGTGAATTCGAGCATGGTACCGTGACATGATGCCACCTGTGCAACAAATAAGGTTGTGAAATTTCCTCACTACTAAATATTCCACAGCCAACTCCTAGCGGTAGTATAACAAAGTGGAAGTGATTGGGAACCAAACCAAGACAGCCACGAAGTGGGAGGCCATGTAAAAGTGGATGCTGAGGAGTATAGTGTCCGGAGGTCGCCAGCTTTCTGCAGAGTGTGTAGACCTCCAAACTTCATGTGGCCTTCAGATCAGCTCAAGAGCAGTATGTAGAGAGCTTCATGGAAAGGGTTTCCATCCAAGCTTTACATTAACAGAATGCAGAATGCAAAGCGTTGGATGCAGTGGTGAAAATGTGAGTTTGGACCGTATTTGTCTGACTGCACTGTGCCAAGTGTAAAGTTTGGTGGAGGGAGGATTATGGTGTGGCTTTGTTTTTCAGGAGTTTGGCTCGGCACCTTAGTTCCAGTGAAATATACTCTTAATGCTTCCGCATACCAAGATATTTTGGATAATTTCATGCTTCCAGCTGATTTTGGGAACTGTTCTAACATCTCTGAGCACTAGTGGAGAAAGCTCGGTCCGATAAGACATTGAAGTTGGGTGTAGAAAACCTTGACTGGCCTCCTCATCCAACATCATTGTCTGACCTTAGAAATGTGCTTCTGGAAGAATGATCAAAATTCCCAGAAACACATTCCTAAGCCTCGTGGAAAGCCTCCCCAGAAGAGTTGAAGCTGTTATAACTTCAAAGAGTGGACTAGCATCATATTGAACACTATGGATTATGAATGTGATGTCACTTAATGTGATATGAATGCAAAGGAGGATAAGTGAATACTTTTGGGAGTATAGTGTATTTCTCTTCACTACAATGCAGACTGCATATCAACAGCGTGAAATGTGAAAAGTGACAAAACTCGTTGAAAATGTTAATGTAAGATTAGATTTCTTATCGTCTTCTTTATTTGCGATTGATTTGCAACTTTGGGTTGTTCATATTAGCAAAATGCATTTTTTGCAAAAGCCCAAAAGTAGACACTCATAGTGTTTGTGTTATTATTCAGACTGTTGCACACTAGTTTGGTGAAATTCTCCATTTCCTCACGAACCCAAAGGTGAGGCACTTCAGGACGGGCATGCCGACGTTCATCAAAGGACGCAGGGTAAAGAGCATGCAGTACAAGGCCTGGAGAGACAGGTGTCCAGTTTCATCGCCATATTTCAGCGCTAAAATGGGTGAGTACAGCGGGTTGGTCAGATTGTGGAAATATGGATTGCTGGCTTCGATCATGCTCATTGT